AGTGACAAGCATGAACACTCAGCCTTTCCCAGAATTCAAGCAAAACTTTTTTTTTTTTTTTTTTACAAATAGTTTATTGTCAAATTAGTTTCTACATAACACTCAGTGCTCATCCCCAAAGTGCCCTCCTCCATGCCCATCCCCCCTGCCCCCCCACATCCATCAGTCCTCAGTTTTTGTCAGCATTCAAGAGTCTCTCATGGTTTGCCTCTCTCCCTTTCCCCCACCATTTCCGCCCTTCTCCTCCCCCTTGTTCCTCCGTCAAGTTCCTCCTAAGCCTCCTATACGTGCAAACATATGATATTTGTCCTTCTCTGCCTGACTTATTTCGCTCAGCATAACACCCTCAAGGTCCATCCATGTTGCTACACATGGCCAGATTTCATTCTTTCTCATTGCCATGTAGTATTCCATGGTATAGATAAACCACATCTTCTGGATCCATTCATCTGTTGATGGACACTTAGGCTCTTTCCATGTTTTAGCTATTGTGGAGAGTGCTGTCAAGCAAAACTTTTGTGTGTTCTCCAGTTTAAAACAGTAAAATTTTCCTTGCCTCTGTATTTTCTCACTCAGGTTTTCTTAATTGTTGTGAGGATATAGCTTGTTTCTCTGATTCCTGACTTCTAAAAAAAATAGTATTCCAGAGGGTTTTGAAGATTTTACAAAATTTTTTATATATGAAATATATAGAATACTTCAAAAGAATATGTATCTTCCTGTTAAAAGAATACAGTCTTCTATTGTGAAGATTACGGCAAACTTTGGTTTACTTGTTTAATTAAACAATAGTTTCTAGGGACTGCCATCTGTATTACCCAGAACGCTTACATTTCTGACATGTAAACCACTACCACCAATAGAAAACTCTATGAAGTTTAAAAAAGAAAAAGCTTAATTGGCCTTCATGAAAAACACAAACGTGAATCCAGAAAACTGAGTGAATGGAATGAGTTGAAGCCATGTGTCCACCTTTGGAGTCTCAATTGACCAGGACCAAAAAGAATGAATAGGTTTAGGATCCAGCAAGAACAGATGGACTTCAGGAAGGCAGATCAACTTAGCCCCGTTTTCTGACCCGTATATTCCCAGCACCTGATATCCAGAACCAGGTAAAAGACTGGGTACAGCCTGTGGGGTTGGATTTGTGCTGTCACTATTATGGCCACTGAGAGCTGCAGCAAGACCTCCTGGCCATCGGGTGCTGTCCCACACGGAGCTCATTACACCCTTATCCTGAACCCACTATCTTCCTTGGCTTGCATCTTGTAACCATTGGATGCCCTCCCAGATCTGCTCACCGCCATCCCCATTTCCTCTGTTGACAATACAACTGGATGGTTTGCTGAATGTTGGTTTTGTTTCTTTAGTCTGTTGAGACACGTTCTAACAGCTATTGCATTTGACATAACCTATACATTTTTTTAAATTGCACTTAAAGCACACTATTAATTTGCTTGGGCTGCCAAGACAAAGTACCACTGATTAGGTGGCTTAAACAACAGAACTTTGTTTTCCCACAGTTCTGGAGTCAGGAACTCTGAGGTCAACCTGTCAGCAGGGCTGGTTTCTTCTGAGGCTGTTTCCTTGGCTTGTCGATGGTCATCTTCTCCCTATGTCCTCACGTGGTCTTTCCTCTATGTGTGTCCCTGTCCTCATTTCCTCCCGATAAAGACACCAGTTTTACTGGGTTAGGGCCCACCCTGATGAGCTCATTTTAACTTAATTACCTCTTCAAAAACCCTGTATTCAAACATACGCACATTCCAACTGGGAGTTAGGTTTCTGACAGGAATTTTGTATGTGAGAGATGCACGATTCAGCCCATAGAACACACTTGTATAAAATGATCTTTCTAGAAGGTCCGTCACCAACGCCCCTCCCCCCCGCAGCAACTAGATTTGCGCCCCTAGGAGGCAGTAACTCTCTTCTTGCAATCCCTAGAATCTAGCAGTGTCCCGGAACACTGCAGGTGCTTCATGAATGCATGCACGGGCAAAGGTGTTCTGAAGTATCTGAGAGCAAGGCTAATGGTTGTCCCCGAACTTCTCCCTTAAGTCCTTTGTCTTAGAGTCTCACTCAAAACACCACTGTTACAAGAACGAACCGGGGCGCCTGGGTGGCTTAGTCGGTTAAGCGTCCGACTTTCGCTTAGGTCATGATCTCGCGGTTCGTGGGTTCAAGCCCCGCGTCGGGCTCTGTGCTGACTGCCAGCTCAGAGCCTGGAGCCTGTTTCAGTCTGTGACTCCCTCTCTCTCTGACCCTCCCCTGCTCATGCTGTCTCTCTCTCTCTCTCTCTCCTAGAAATAAATAAAACATTAAAAAAAAAAAAATTTAAAAAAAAAACAAAAAAAAAACAAGAACGAACCAAGTTGTCATGTAGATGGTACGTATTTCCAATAATCGACCAACTTTTCCAAATCCATAAAAAGTTTAAATATCCCCTTTGGATGCTATATCTGGGAGTATGCTGAGTTCTTAGAGACCAACCAAGCAAGTTTTAAGAATGTAACAGATTTCTCTATCCCTGCCATTTTTGGCTTCGAGTTAGGAGTCTCGAGGAGACTGGAAGAATTTACCACAAGGCCAAAGTGACATTTCTTTTTCCTAAAGCACACAATGATTACTTTATGATTCAAACACTAAAAAATGCCTAATTAGAAGTGCCCTTGGCCAATTTGTGGCTAAATTAATATGTTTCAAAAGCACAAATTTGGGTTAGGGAAGGAGGAAGTTTTCTTAGTTGTGGGTTTTGCTATCAGATACTCATGTTCCTGAATTCTTTGGCAAAAAAAAAAAAAAAAACAAAAAACCATCAATGACTGTTGTTATTAAAAAAAAAAAGCTCTTAGAAAAATTCTAAGAGTAATAAGTATAATGATTTATGAGGCAAGCTATTTTCCCCTGCAGATTGGACTTGAGTGGCTTTCATAGCGATGCTTTGAACCTGGAAGTTAAATCCTAAAGGAGTGTCATTTTGTTAAAATGGAGTGTCACAGAAAAGCTTAAAAACACAGCCGTAACATTTACTTGATGTTACTTCTCATTGTGTCCATGTGCCTAATTTTTTACATGTATTTTTATCAACATTTTTGGTTTACAATGGAACTTTATTTCTTGCTATATGTGTAGCATTTCAAATTGTACTTTAAAGCATGCTTTTAAAGGTAGTAGTGTAAAAATATAATCATTTTATATTAAGTGAATCTACACTTGATCCCAGTTGGGAATCTCCTTAAATTAAGCACTAACTGGTATTTTGTATGCCGTGACAGGGTTTTAAGCCTTAAAAAAAAACTTGGAATGTCAGGGGTGACTTGTCTGTCCCAAATAAGGCAGATGGTGGACTTCTCCCAGAAGGATCTGAGCAGAGGAGGGGGAAGCTGAACAAGAGGAAGGAGGTTCGGGCTGGGGGAACCACATGGCCCAGAAAGCAGACCTGTCCAAAGTCAGAAAATAGGTCCAGTTCCTGCAGAATGAGCGCTCAAATATTGAAGATCTAACTGTGTGTGCTGCCCGTGGACTGGTGTAATTTTGAGAGCAGTGATAGGCAGTTTGCATTCTGGGGTGATTTGAGGGCATTGGGGTAGTGGGAAAAACTGAAGTCGAGAATCTGGAAATGTGGTTTGAGTTCACGGCCTATCCTACACTCATGGTGTGGCTTTGGGCAAGTGGGTGACCTTTTTGAGGTTCTGTTTTCCCATCTCTGAAATGAGAAGATTTACAGGTTTATTGTCAGGATATATTAGGGCAATATACACAAAACTAACTGGGATGTGCCACAGAGGTTACGGGAATACGGCAAAGATGGGTACTGTTAGACGACCCCAAAGAACCAACACAGCCATCCACGGCTCCTACCTCAGGGCCCCTGATCAAGTGGATTGCCTGGGACACTGAAAACATTGCACTTAGCCCAGTGACTAGGCTGCCACATCTACAGCTTCCAAAACCAAAAACGTTAACCTAGTAAGGAGATGTGATTCTTAATATTATTTATTAAATGTGAGGCTTATTTAGAGCATTTAGTAAATCCGATCTGGAGGGAATCTTCTCTAATTTTCTCCCTTCCTTTCCCCTCCCTTCAAGCAGGGCTATCTCAAATGTGAATTAACTCTGGCAGATGGTTGTTAGATTCTGGTTCTAAATTTCTTAAAGGAGATTTCACAGTTTTCTTGAAATTCTTTTAGTAATTTAACAATTCTTATGCCAAGTCCTTCCTTATAGCTGACCTAAATCCATGCTGTAATTTAATTCCTAACCCCCTACTCCTGTCTTTCCCAGAGATGGAAAACAGCTGGTCAGCAACCTTTTTATGATAATACCCTCTGTATATTTAAAGAAGAATTACTCAGTTTGACTCACGCTCTCCACCTTGTCCCAGCTCAGCCCCCACCCCCAGATTCATCAGCTGCTCTTCTCTGAATCATTCATGACCATACTGCCCATCTCCCTGCCTCTCTCTCAGACGCTCTGCTACTTTTCAGGCACCGGGCAGTGTTGCCAGTGGCCACACGGACCTGGGGAGAATGCAGGCTGCTTGTTCCTGCCCTCCTGCTTTGTGCATAATGTTGAACTTTGTAACCAATTATCAGAATAACCCTAACAGTGTTTTGTGGGTGTGTGGCACATTTATCTCATGGCGTTTTGCAAGTGTACTTATCGTAGGTTGCTTTGAAAGTTAGGCCTCCCCGGTACCTTAGTTTGCTCAGCCACTTCTGTCATGAGGCTGCCTTTTGGCATGCAAAAGGTAACAAAGATCGACATCTTTGCTCTGTTGGCCTTAGTCTTGGGAGACACTGAGCCAGAACTCTCCCAAGTGCAGTATACATTTGGAAGCCCACACAGTCTCAAAGAGGGAATGGGCTTCCCCAGCGCTCCAAGTTGCAGTCAGGAAATAAGTGACATTGAGGGGGATTGAGCTCATGAAGTTGATCCCATGTGGTGTCAGAGTGGATGCTGTTTTTAACTTGAACGTGTGTGCTTTTATGTCTCTGTAGGTTTATTACCCAGAGCTCTGTGTCTGGGTCAGTCAAGAACCATTTCCAAATAAGGAAATGGAGGGAAGGCTTCCTAAGGTAAGATTCCCACCTACTGTTTTGTTAATTTTTTTTTTCAATTTAGAGGCAGTTAAAATCAGTTTCCTTTTTAATATCCATTTAGTCTACAATAATAATCTATTGACATGATAAGATATACTAAAGTCCTACGACTCTTAAAGTTCACATTATCTTCTTTTCTTGACCAGTCCAAAGTAAATCTTCATATAAGAATAGTGGAATCAGTTTATCAAATGTACATTTTACAGGTTTCCAGTTTGTTCCATTTGGGTAGATAAACTCATGTATGATGACTAAAATGAAAAATATCTTAAAGATAGGGGATGGGGACACTTTTGTCTGGTAATAGTGCCCAAATGTCTGATGAAATTACCCAAGAAACAAAAACAAACCTATTATTTTTCTTTCTTCTAATTTTTAAGCCTAAAAATATTTTCTACACACATGCTTTCATTGTTCTGACATCTTAGGTGTGACAATCCTCTGCCTTAAGAAAATTTGTCAAAGTTACATTGTGGATTTTAGCACCATTTCCAACAGCAACAACATTTACCAGTTTTTAGGGTAAATACCTTTGGACTTGCCCGTTAAATATCAATTTGACCTTAATGAGGAGGACTGTACTTTTTACCACTGACCTGTTGATTTTGCAATTAAGAAAGAAGCATAAAGTGCACTGAAAATAAAATTTCCATTTAAAAGTTTCCTAAGTGTCATTGACAAATGGTGAGGCCTTCCCAGCTCATATTGACTTTTAAATGTTTGAGAAATTCTTGCTTAGACTAAATGGTTTCAGCAGTTGCCTATCTTTAACTGACAGGCAGAACCTGAAGAGATTGTGTCAACTGGCAGTTTGCATTAGGAGAAAACAATTCTAAATCACTTGTAGTCTTCCAGAGGATTTCTGAAAGTGCAGAGTGAAACCACTGTTCGGAAAGTAGGTGAACAAAATGATTCTGGCCCTGCTCGAGCTACACTTGTGCTGGCTTGTAGAGCTGGGGTGGAGGTGAGCTAGTGTACTGGAGCTTTCCTAAGACACACGCACCCCCACCCAGTACCACCTCCCACTCAACCACAGGCCCCGCACCATACCACCTCGACACTACCCTGCCACGCTACCGCCACACTGCCACACCATCAGCAGTAGTATAAGTTTAGACATCCTTTACTGGGAAGCTCAGGGCATAATTCACCTGAAGGTGGGACATGATAATGGAAGGGGGAAAGGGGAGCGTAGCGTTTTCATAATTTCTGTCCCATTTAGCCATCCAGAAGTCCATGATACTGGTGACATCAGCCAGAGTGACAAGACTAGGCAAGGTCTTCAATGAGGTCAGCAATGCCTCCCTTTTTCTTAGAAGGCCAATCCAGGTTGTAGGCCTTGCCTCCACTGAGGTGTGCTCCAGGAGGTCGGCACAATGGATCCTGAGATTCAGGTCTTCTGTTAATTTCTTTTCCTCTCTCCATATGTGAAGAATACTTAAGCATAATAGATTTGTCCGGGCCACATATCGAGTAACTGGGGGATTCAAACACTAACAGTCCTCAGCAGAGAGGGCTATCCACCCTGATGTAGATAAGCCGTGGGAGCATCCAGGAGAACAGGTCTGGGGGAGTCAGTGGACACATCTGTGCCTGCTTCTCCAGCCTTCTAGATTGCTGAAGAACCCCGGTCCTTGGGAGCCATTATATGCTGGATAATGAAGGAAGAAGATAGATAGGATTAGTTTTGCCTGAATTCTTACAAGGCCCACCTTCTGGAGAAGTAAGACTACGTGGTAGTCCCCCCCACCCCGCCTCAGAAGCCTACAGTTGCTTCAGAGTTTATTGGTTTTTCAAAAAATGAGGTATGGGAATTAAGGACTGAAGTCTAGTAAATTCTGGCCTCCAAAGGGAGAATGTGCAGAACGTTTTCTCCGCACGAACTCCTCTCCCCATAGGTTTGTTGGGTTATGGTCCCTCAGGGTGCTTTGCTAGCACACCTGCCTGCGTGGCTTACTGCCATTGCCTCACACTGTCCAGCCACTTGGGTGTCTCCCATACAGTAAGTTAACTAAGGGCAGGATGGATGGGGACATTTTGTCTCTGTTTTAATCTTGGTAGCCTTAAAATCTGAGTACTCAAGCCACAGTAGGCACTCAGAACATGAAAAATGTTTGTTTGGGGAAAAAATGATACATTCAAATCTGGAATAATCTCCTTCATATTTTTTGGCCTGGAAATACCTCTTCCCAAATTACCCAGAATCCCACCCAACTCTTCATTTGGTTTTGCTTTGTATTTTCCATGGAGGTAAAAAAATTAGTGTGAGAGAGACTTATATAGAGACAGAGTAATGTTCTATATATTCACTATATACTAACTGAACAGAGTTAAGGATGAACTGAAATAAGCAACTTTAAAGCCAACCACATACAGAGTGCAGTTGAGTGAAATAATACTTAAGAACTTTTGATTTCCCTTCCTGGCCTGTGATAATTAGCAGCCATCGAATTCTTCATTTGTCCAAAACCCAAGTTTTCCATATCTTGAACTGTGCTGACAGGGTGATAGGGAAGCAAGAACATGTATTTCAAAAGTACCAGGATTACAGTTTTTTTAAAAAATATTGGGATTATATGCCAAAACATCAGGATTAAAATTATTTTCACAACTGAAAGACTGCCCAATATAATGATTTTGGAAATTTATCTAGATCCTTAATAGTGTGAGTGATAATTATATTTTAATTCAATTTTCTGATATGGTCCTATTGCTCTTTAGTTATACCAAAACAACTTCTAAATCACAATCTAAGACTAGAACACTAAAGTACCGAGTGGATTTTCTCTACATCCTGAAATGTAGCATGCTGTCAGAGTCTGAAACTTTTAAAACCAAATTTAGGCATACCAAATGTTTAACCTAAAAAATCTATATAGTAACTATGACTTATTAAAGCAAAATTATCTGTTACATTTAGTTCATCCTGGGGCTGCTGAAAACATTTATTCGATTTCAAAGTTCCTGACTTCTTAAAAAGAAATTCAAATGCGATAACTCACAGATCTCACAGCAAGATTATTACCTTAAGTACTCATACCCAGTCGAAATAGTTTGTTATAAATGTCCTATTGGAATATGTCACCTGCACAAAAAGGGGGGAAAAAATCTCTTAAAACCATATTGGATAATGTACCTGAGGTTTGGCTGAAAGACAGATTGTTGTCAAATCACTATTATTCTTATCTGATTGGAGCGTACAGATTATTTGTGGTAACGAAAGACCTTTACTTGGTATCACACCTTGGGCAGTGGCTTCTTTGACTTGTCCTCTTGCTGGTTGGTTATGACAGAGAGCTTCTCCTCATGGGTGCTTGAAGGAGCATCAGTCTCACACTGCGGTTGGATGGTTCTAGACAGAAGCACAAACACCACCTCACTCATCAGGCTCGTGGGGACAGATTTAGGATAGCCCCAGGCCAGCGGAGCTGGATCTCACTCCCTCCTGGCCTGGGCTTCACACTGTCTCCCTCTTTCCCACATCCACCTTTGATGCCCGTGTGTGGTTCTGATTATCAGACCCACGTGGACTGGGCCAGCCGTTCAGAGAATAAACCATACATAAATTACGTTTGTACAAGCTGCAATATCCTTTTAAATATTTTTTTATTATAGGTCATCAAACAGGCAATTGCCCACCTCCACAGCCATCGAACGCTTTAAGCAAAATGTATTAACGCTCTCATGTTGGGCCCTGTCCGATACTAGAAACTGCCCTCAGAAACCTGACTCTGGGGAATGCTGCCTCCCACATGGCTGGGCACGGCCATCAGAGAAGCACTTGATTCTACCGAAGCCAAGGCAGCTAGTGTTTAATTACTTCATGCCCCCACAGACCTAATATTTACATTCAGGTGAACTGTGTTTAATACGTAAACTCTGCAAAACATCAGGAGTTCAAGGATAAAAGGCGGGAGGGAAAGGCAAAAAATTTCAAATGGTTTCACAAGCATGACTAAGTGCCTTTTGTGTGTGTGTGTGTGTGTGTGTGTGTGTCCCCGTGTGTTTGTGTGTGGGTCCACCTGCTTTTCAGGGAAGCCTTCCTGTCCCCAAGGAGGTGAACCGCAAGAAGGATGACGAGATCGAGGCTGCCTCCGTGCCTCCACTTGGCAGCAGTGAACTCCACTCCCCAGGCATCAGTTACCTCTACTCTTTTTAATCGTTAACACCTCCATTTGTATTACATATGGTGTATGGGTATTGATGAGGTCATGGTATCATATATGGGATTTTTTTCTGTGTAAATCATCAAGTATAAGAAGAAACTATGGGACTCTGAGCCTTGCTTTAGAGAATTTACAGTGGACAACTAGGTATCATCAAACCAGTTTTTAATCATTCTGACTCAAGTGAAAACGCTCAGAATTTCACACTGTGAATCCACGTTTACAACCCTTACAGGTGGGCCTTCAGGCCTGGTTCTCGACGACGATGTCTTCCACAACTCAGACTCCCTCTGCTGTCACACAACCGGTCCACTCCTGCCTTTTCACTCACATAGCTCCCGACTGCTTCTTGCAGAGGCTGAGAGTCCCCATTTTTTTTTTTTCATTTAGATGTAACAAGCCTAGTAGTTTATGTTCATCGATTGTCTGTATATCTCTATATTTTATCCATGTACTCTTTTGATGTATAGAAGTAGTTTGAAACTCATTGTTTCCTTGTGGTAAGTGACCGAGATGCTGCCACAGGACCTGAGACACTGATGAATGGTGCTATTTTGGACTTTCAACATGCTCCTTGGCGAGGTAGCTCTGACGGAGTTATATTTTATTTCCATGTTCTAAGAAGGTGTTGGTACTCTGTTTCCCTGAATGTTGTTCTCTAGACCGGATTGACTTGTTTTCCTCGTGTCTTCAGTGTGGCTTTCTTCTTCCGCGTGGTAGGTTGGCGAATGCTACCAGAGAGAGTAAGAGACTCACGTCTCATTGGCTGGCTCTCTTGGACATGCAGTCAGTGGAGCGGGAGCAATCACAAAACTGTAATTTACTTACCAAATCTCTTCTTTTCGGTAGCCTCGCCTGCCTAGCTTAGAGAAAGATAAGCAATAATTTGACAGGCATTGTTAGGTGTCTCTTTCGGTTCTTTTTGTTTGAAAGGATATTTGCGGGGGGAAAGGGCAAACTTTTAAAATACGTGCCCGATGGGAAAAAAAAAATCCAAAACACTGGCATCTGCTTAGATATATGCAAATTACACCGTTTCCAAAAGCTAAGTTGGAAAACCTCTCATAAAAAATTTTTTTTTTACAAAAAGGCAGAGCACTCTTTTCCGGCAGTTTTGAGAAGCAAGGTATAGATTTTGCATTTTTGTCCTTGCTCCCAGTGAAATGGATAAACAAAACTAAAATCAGACAATACCATCTTCTCATGGATTGTTGTTGTGTTAGCCAGTCTGAAAGCCCACCTTAATTTTTATATAACCGTCTCGTAGCTCTTCCTTTGACAGGGCAGGCTGTGTCCCGCCCTGTCGTGCTTCTGACTGTTAACACGGATGATGCATGTACTTCTTCGTTCTCTTCTTGCTCCCCCACTGGACTGAGTTTCTTGTGCATTTTCCTCCCCGACCCCCTCCTTCGTTAGAATAGGTATATCAGCTGTGTAAATAGAGCAAGAAAACAGTATTCTGCATCTGTGGCATTTATGTAGCGTTGCAGTTGTGCACTGCCCAAAATGCAGGCTTTTGTAACAATGTGATCTTTACTGATGCACTCACAAGTACCCAGTGTATTTTAGTAGTCTTTGTTCAATAAATATGCAAGCTAGAAGGTAACTGGCTTGGCTCATCATTGGAAAGGTCTACTTTTGAATGCTTACCCTGGTTCCTGTTAATTGATGGGTTCTCAGAGCCCCAGAAGTGGACTGAAGGGCAAATACGGAAAGAGAGAATCCACTCAGCCTTTCACGCATGTTCCCTTCTGCTGGTTTCACAAGATGAGGGGCGAGGAAGTGGCTTGTCGGGATGGTTGTGGAGAGCTGCCTCTGGGTACGAAGGAGAATTAAACCAAGACCCTTTTTATTTCTACACTTCTCCCCCACCCTTTTCAGGACACTCCCACACACCTCAACCCTTACTCTTTCTTACTCCTTGCCATGAAGACCTGTGGCATTCCTAGATTCCAGGCCTCACTTCTTCATGGCACATTTGCACTTAGTACACAGATAAAAGGCTTATGCTTGGAAGAAGATAAAAATTTGAGACAGCATTTTAAGTCACTAATTCACAGGGAGCCAGCTACCTGGAATCTAGCACATGCTGAGATGGCATCACCACAGCCCCCTGGAGGTCTCCTGTGACCCTGAAACCCAGAAATTCAGAGGGTTCATCCTCTCCCTGTGTATGAGAAACACGGCTGCTCTCTTCTCCTTCACAGTGACAGTGAAATCTCACTGACTTACCACAAGTTGCTACAGTGGCTGGCTGGGTTCAGATACCTGAGTTTCACCTAAACAGAGGCTAAGGAACAGTGAGGCCAGAGAGAAGGGAGAGGGGCAAAAGGTGACCTTGCCCCCAAACTGGGTGATCAGCTTCTGGTGAGGGAATCCGATGCTGAGAAATCTCAAGCCTTGACGCGTGTGTGTGTGCGTGTGTGCGTGCGTGTGTGTGTGTGTGTGTGTCAGGAGGGACTTTTACTCTGGGGAGTTACTGTGGAAATTCCTGCACGTCGCAGATTTTGGTTAAGTGTCGTATTTACCCTCAACTTTTATTAAGAGAAAGGAGCCTTAGGGCAGAACTAAATCCCAGAATGTGTTCAGTCTGAAAGAAAAGTCTTAAAATGGAGGCACCACTACCTTTTTTTGGTAATCCCACCCAGAGGTTCCTCTTGCCAAATGGAAGAGAAATCCACCTGGAAGAGAAATCCACCTGGAACTTAATTACCTTCCACCTTATAAACAACTGCCATTTTCCTCACCCAGCAGCCTCCCGTCACCTGTATGTTATCCATCTTGTCTCCCTGCCCTTGCCAAGTGGGAAACAGAGAAGTGATGAGGCCAGGCCATGGAGGTGGTAGGCCCAGGCTGCTTCATGCCCATCTCTATCAGTTATCTATTGTCACGTAACACAGGACATCCACACCCTGCATCCTGAAACAACAAGCTTTTCACACCTCACAGAGTCTATTCTAGTCAGGAGCAATTTAGCAGGTGCTTCTGGCTGAGGACCTCATCAACTTGCTGTCAAGATGTTACAAAGCTGCAGTCATATGAAGGCTTGACCAAGGCTAGAGAATCTTCTGTTGGCAGGAGAACTTACTTCCTCCACTCACGGGCCTCTACACAAGGCTACTTAAGTGTCCTCATGACCTCTGGCTTCCCCTAGAGCAAGTAATTCGAGAGCTGGGAGCAAGCCACAATGCCTGTGACCTATTCTCAGAAGTCGCTATCATCCATCATATTCTATTCATTAGAAGCACATCACTAAATATAGCCCACACTCACTGGGAGGGAATTAAGCTCTATCTCCCGAAGAGAAGAATTTTGAAGAGTTTATGGCCACATTTTAAAAGCAGCACACCATCTGAAGTTAAAGCACTTGGTAATTGTAAGCCAGGGGCTGCAAGTGAGAAGGGTTGAAATAGAATCATAGCCACTTCTTTCACTGAAGAGGTTTTTACAGTCTTTAGCATTCCAGAGAGAAGTTTCAACTTTCCAGATTGAAGGCATATAAGGAGAGCATCCAAGAACTGTAATATTGGGATTCCATAGCCTCCATTTATTAAGACTAGTGTTGTCAACCCCGAAGGGAAGATTTAGAGAATGTATTAGAAACTGTGAAAACAGAAAAGCTAGAATAAACGATGTCTAAAGTTCTATTCAACTCACTCAACTTGAGTTTGCTGATGACAACTCCCTCAGCTTCCATGAAGCTTGAAAGATTCACTTCACTCGAAACTTGCAGGACCCAGCTATGACTTGCAAAGCTATGGACTTAGTAAGGGTTAATAACTGCTGAGGCGGAGGTAAAAAACCAGAGTGCTAGCTGGAGTCCATGTGGGAAACACAAACTCTGACTAGGAACAGCTCTGTTCTCTCTTCGGAGGCAGACACAACCATGTCCCCTCTGGGCAGAGATAGTTAACCAACAACCATGAATCAGTAAGACCTGGAGGCTTGTTTTACGTGCTAGGTGTTTTATTAAAATGTTGGTTTAATTGCCAGCATTTACAAATTGGGAGCTTTTATGTGAAAATGCAGGGTTTTGTCTTCCCTTGAAAACAGAAAAATCTGGCAACAGAGGGCTTGGAGCCGAGGACCACCTTTGGTACTACTCCTCCGAGATCCGGTGCTCATAACCTCTTCTTTTCTTACACCACATGCTAGTCACCATTAGCATGTGGGTTTGCAACATGAATCCCTGGTTTCAGGGAATAGTGATGTGCTTATTCAACAAAGGGCCAAGGGACCTTCTGAGATCATTTTTGTTCGGTAGCTGGGGCACATGAAGGTCTATATGAACACCAGACCGGGAAGAGGCTTCCCTTTACTGGTCCCAGAAGGGGCTGCTGTGGTCCCATTTGCACCACCAGGCCCTCTTTTAAACTTTTGATGACACTCCCTCAGTGACTGAGAACTCCATGATAAAGAAAAAAAAAAATCTTGGACTGGTCTAATAAGCTAGGGTATGTGTGCTTCAGGGCATGTGAAGTGTTTCCAAGGAGTACATGCTCATGGATAGTTCTAAGGGAATTAATTTCCAAATCCCCTAAACCTATCATACCCTTTCCTAAAACTGATCTACTGAGAATCTGTCTATATTCATATTATCCCTTTCCCTACATTCTAATAATGAAGATGTAAGTCTCACCTATCCCAAATCTTAGAATGACTCATTGCCCTTAATATGACCACCAACCACCAGATGTGGCAAACAAAGAGAAAGTTTCCTTGAATGGAACCTTTATGGTCCTTTAAAGTTTCCTTTAATCACAAATCCATAGAACTTTGGGCTTCCCCTTCATAAACACATGTAAAAGTGATACAGTAGAAAACAGAATTAAGGTGTTCGGATACCTATATAGCTTTTTAGAATTCAGATATATAAAGTGGAGTGATAGAAATAGTGCAAATTATATCATACCATTTCCTCTTCCACGTCCTTACTCTCTTTGTCAAAGAACGCCTTGCTCTTGAGAGAGAGCCTTGAGAGAATGAAGCATGGAGAAAATCAGTCTGACAGTGAATCCCAAAAACAGCCTCTTCATGTACTTGTAAACAATTATTTTCCACAGTTCTCCACACTCATCCCTAGGATAGATCTTAACTGGGAAGAAAAGCAACTTAGAGCAGCTAAAGTAGCATAAGTTTGCAATGTTGACTATTTTAAATGTAGTCAGGGGGAATACCAATTGTTTTTTTTACAAGATAAAGTGGATAAAACCCAAGGATAAACTTTCCTATGCGTTTTCAGATTTGATGTGCATTAGTTAATACAGTTGTCAAAACCTGTTGTATCAATCCATAGCATGAAGTATTTATTTCAGCTATAGTCAATTCTCAGATTCTTTTTAAATGTTTAATATCTTTTTCATAATAAAAAAAAAAATATGTGCTGCCAGACTGATTAGTAGCCTAGGACCTTTCTATATTATTAGTGGTATTTCTGATTTTTATACTAGTTCTTCTTCTCCAAAGCCAGTCAGCAGTATTTAATAAACAGTTTTACCAGAGATCTACCATGCCTTTTATCAGTGTTCTTACTTTCTATGAAAAAGAGTGTCCTGATCATTTTATTTTTATAACCTAAACACGTAATAATTATATTAGGTCTTTATAATTTTAATATTTGTTTTTAGTGATCAGTTTCACAAGATATGCTTTTAATCCTAATTTTTATAATAATCCTCAAAACAGCTATGTGAATTAAAAAGTGAAGTCAAAGTTTTTTCTGACAGAAAGCATACCTGACTAGGCCCCTTGGTTTGGCAGTAAAGCCTGGTTCTGTCAATGAGGTTAGTGATAGACATTTTCTATAAAGAAGCCGAATTTGCAGTTTTCAAGTAATTTTTAGTAACATACTTAAAGCAGAACGTAGTTCAAAGCATTTAATCAAAAGGCATTATTTTGGCAAAAGTGTAATGAAATTAATGTGCCTGTTTTTCCTATCATTTCTGAAGACACTGAATTTTGAAAGGTGAATCGAAGTGAAAGTGTTAACAGCATAAAAACAAATGATAAATCTTCGCAGAGCTCTTCTGGTGTACTTCCCATAAATTAAGAAAGTGAATTATGCTAATGAGAACAAAGCTCTTTGCAAGTCACGTGCTTTCCAATTCACTGCTTATAAGAAAAACAAAGAAGAACCTAATCAAGTTGTCAGGTGACAGAAGATTAAAATTATTTTCTGATAATAGCTCCTTATATGAATTTTGGCACCTAACAAAGAAGTTAGAATTTTACTGAATTACATTGCTATAGTAAAATACATTCAGTTCCTGCATTTTACATCTATTGAAACCAAAAAACAGAAATAGGATTGAAGCTGACCCATCTCCTGCTAGCAATAAATACTATTCCTCTACAGATATGTGAACTAACTGAAGAAAGTTCATCTCGTTTAAGTGATGCATTTGCCCTCCTTGTATTTAGTAATTAGTATAATGTATTCATGTTGTTTTAATCAATAGTGTACTGCTAATTGTGATAATTCAATCACACAGATTTTTTTAAATGTCTATTTTTGTAAAAGAGAGACAGAGCACGAGCAGGGGAGGGGCAGAGAGAGAGGGAAACACAGAATCTGAAGCAGGCTCCAGGCTCTGAGCTGTCAGCACA